CGGGGCTGCCATCTGTGTCCGAAATCAGGTGTACAAGTGTCTGCCGTGAAACGCGCATCCATGGGGTTCCAGAAAGAGAGGAGAGAAGGCTGAGCTCACCCACATCCCAGTCCAGCTCTGCCTCCATCAGGCTGGGCCGGTGCAGGGACTGTCACCGAGCTCAACAGAAAGGCCTTGGGGTTCTGGGGTTGAGCATCTGTGGTTGTACAAGCCCAGCGTCTAGCTAGGCATCCTGAGCACACTTCTGCAAAGGACCCAGGTCCCACCCATCTTTCGCCTGGGACAAGAGGCCCTCAGAGGTGTTTTCCTCAGGAGCAAGAGTTTCTGTCCCTAGTGTGGGAGGAGCTCAGCTGGGATGAGAAGGGTGAAGAGATGCTTGGTGTGTGAGGTCTGTGCCCAACCTGGATGCGTCAGGGAGCAGTGAGTGTGGGACGTGCTCTTCTGTGTCCTGTCTGCTCAGCCCGCGGACAGTCCGTCGGCAGACATCTGCCGTGAGACCCGCCACATTAGCGAGTCCCCACGCCCTCCGCTCTCTATAGGCACCATGCATGTGTTCTCAGGGGGAAGCCCGGCTCTGTCTACCCTGGGAGCCTCAGACACACCCAGCCTGTCAGCACCTCCCCCGCTCCTGCCTGGTCCTGGGGGACCCTGCCCTGGGGAGTGGCCTAACCCCCCACTCTGACTCCAGCAGGGCTCCTGTCTTTGCTGTGGCACCGCTTCCCACTGGGGGATCTGCAGAGCCCTGAGGATCGGTGAATTACCCTCCCACCCCACACACCCTCTGCTTAGAGCAGTCGCTTGTCAGATACGAAGGTGGAGATAACTCGGACCTCCCCAGCCTGCAAATCTCCAAAGTCAGGGTGCTGGAGCTCATATCCCAGCCTTGCCCCTTCATAGCTGTGTGACTCTCGGCAGTGTCTTTGTGCCTCCTGTACTGAGCTTTCCCATCTGAAACAGCAGCACCGCCACGCAGGAAAGGACTAAGTTCTTCCAGCCCTGGAACTTCCCGTTCCGCCCCCCGTGGGTGCAGGCAAGCTTTTGCTCGATGAACAAACTTCCTCCTCCCCTCCAAGGGCTTCCCTCGCTGGCACCCTGTCCCCTCGCCTTGTGCAAGTGCTGTGAGAGCAGACAGTGGGAGACTTGGTAAAACACAACAAAGAGTGCTGCCGTCCTGCCCACTCCTGGCAGCCAGCTCTGAAGCCGTCCACCTGGAGAGCCGCGGTGGTTCGTGGCTCATCCCCTCTGATAGCTCCAGAAGTCGCCCACAAGGTCACCTTGTAGCCATGCGTGTGTGAGCGTGCACCAGATAGACGTGATCTTCAGTGCTCCCGTGTTTTATACCTCTTGGTGGAAAATGATTGATTTCTCTGGGTTGCAGCTGTGTTCCTCCCAGGTTCGGGGCCAGTGGGCGGATTTTTAATTTGCACGGTGTTATTACAGAATGCCCTTGTCAGGAGAGACTTCATTAAGTTCCCATATTGGGACCCCACGGCGCATCATCCAAACTAACCCCTGGCTCTCTGGCTGCTCAGAGGCTGGCGGTTCAACGAGTTCTGTGTGCAGAACATGCTGCATTCCAGAAGCTGGAGAACGCTTGTTTGGGACAGAATTTCCCAAGGCCAGTCATCTGGGGGCCGTCCAGGTAGTTGGGTTGCTGCTTTGCTCAGCTCCCGAAGGCTCGGGGTGTGGACCCTTGAGTCAGAGCATCAGGGTTCCAGCCCCCACTCTGCCCTTTAATCTCTCTGTGGTCCTGAACAACACAGATGAACTCTTTGCCTGAGTTGTCCCGTCGTACAGTGTGGTGGTAATAGTCCAGCACATGATGAATTTCCAAACCAATACGACAGCGGCTGGCGATCACTAGGCAGTCATGGGGAGGGTGCTTTGTAGGCTGTCACCATCGGGACAGTCAGCTGGCTTCTGTGACTGACCCAGATGGCCTGGGAGAGCGTGGATTCTCACCCTGACCCAATGCTGCTGCTCATTAGATTCCATGAGGCCTGTGATCTCCTCAACCCATGCCAGCCTCTCCCCTCCTCGCCTCTTCTCAGCTCATGCCCAGCATGCTGCTTAGCGCTTGCAGCTCCCAAACACAGCATTCTGCCCTGTGCCTTCCTTCCGGGCCCTGGCCCTGTACACAGCTTGCACCATGCTGACCTGGAGTGACACCTTCTCGTCTCCCCAGACAGCCCAAGCAAGGGCACTTCCTGTGACAGTCCTGGGCCGCCTTCCTCCACCACCCCGCCCCTTCTCATGCTTCAAAACCTTCTGTCCAAATCACAGTGTGCACGTGGTCTTGGCCTTGTTTCCCTTCAGCAGTCCCCTCCTTTAAGTCGTGATCGGGAGATGGATTCATGGTGACAGTGCTCGGGACACCCTGGGGAAAGTCGCCGGGCCAGTGGAGCTTGAGCAAGATGCTTCCACCATGAAGGCTGCCTGTCTCCGAAGGTGGGCACTCTGGAAGCCTGTTCCTCAAGCCGTGCGATCCTCAGACCTCTGCTAGGAAAGAACTTGTGTGTGGTCCCTTCTCATCAGGACGTGTCTCCACTGTTGTCAGGGCCACCCGTCCATTCTCTGTTGTCTGTGGAGCCAGCTCAGGGGTGACAAGGACATGCTGAAGAGTGAACGGCCACTCGAGATCAAGCAGCATCCCAGAGTTGGCCCAGACACCCTGGGCCCAGGCATGGGAGGCCTCCTTCATGGGGCTTCTGAGCCTGCCTGCGCCTCTGCACCCTGGGGAGGAAGAGGAGCCTCCTCTAGGAGGCCCGGAGCTCGGCGCTGTAGCCCTGGAGTCAGTGCCAGACTGGGGGAATTGCAGTGACCACAGCGGTATGTGTATGGTGCAGAAAAGCAGCAGCGCAAAGACGGACTGACGCTCTTCAAATACATGTCACTCTGCAGTTTCTCACTCGCCCCTACCCAGGGACCAAAGCGGCACACAGGGCGCGCAGCTCTGCAGTGCTCACCATCCTGGGCGTCCGGCTTGAGGGACAGTGGAGGGTCAGGGCTTGTTGAGGTGGGACTGGTGACGGTGCGTCCTGTGACAGAGGCTCCTCCCTGCCAAGCCCGTCTCCGGGCCTGTTCTTCCCCTGCGTGGTGTTTGTTTATGATCTTCATGTTTCAGAACCCACTCCCTGCCTCAGAGACAGCGCCAGTAAACGTTTGCTGTAAATAATGTTCAATTATTTTAAAAGGACACACCTGCCATGTGTTGTACATCATGCTTTAATGCTTCAGAAATTACCTGCCAAGTAATTTGTGCTGTCAAATTATGTATTTCTCCCATTGAGAAAGGAAAATTCCAACGGAAATCATGAAATGTTTAGAATCAAATCACAGACGTAGGGCCTGGGAATGTAGCTCAGCGGCAAAAGCACCTGCCTGGCAAGCACAAGGTCATGAGTTCGATTCCTGGTACTGGAAGAAAAGACAAAAAAAAAATCACAGATGTAGCTAAAATGCTGCATAAAATTTTAAAGTCTTATCAAATATACATACATATATTTTAAATGGACATTAATGATCCATATGTCCATCTCAAGAATATTTTAAAAGACACTAAATTCAAATAGATCAGAAAGATAGAAATAATATAGATGAGAATTTGTAGGGGGTTGACATTTTTATTAGGTTATTTCATCACAAAGATGAGATTTGATACAATATATGTACCAATTCTCACACAAGGACTGTATTTACTATGTATCACAGAAGCATTACTAATAAAAAATTGAGATAAAATAGTACATTTTAATTATCTGTAATACTGATGTGTTCTGTTTCTGTTTGCTTGAGTTATGTTATTCAAAATTAATTTTAATAGAGGCCAGTAAAATATTAATTTGGATTATTAAAAGAGAAAAATCAGCCTACAATTTGAAACATGTGTTACTGCATCTCTCTTCCATTTGTGGGCCATGGAGACCATGGCACCATTAATGCTTCTCCAGCTGCTGGATTCGGTGAAGGAAACTGTTCTGGACTGGCCAGGCAGGTGGCAGGTTGTCCCAGTACCTTCTCACCAATGCTCCTTATGACTTCCTGGATACGGCACGGCGGAAGTGAATGAGTGAAGGAGAACCAGGATGTGAAGCCTGGGACAGGCTAGGGCTGTCCACTCCTTGCCGCTCCCGATTGTAGGAGTGTCCCTGATTTGTACAGACGATCACCCTCTAACTGGGCTACCGCAGTGACCATTTCACCCTCTGAGCCTAAAATACTGACTGTTCGGCTTTTATAGAAAACTGTGCCAAGCCCTGCTCCAAATGGTCTTTTTCACTCTGCTGTTCTCATAAATATTGTCATATGCACAACTTTTCAAAGTAAACTCGTAGTAACAGGCGAGGTGTCTCCTACTGGAGCTCCTCACAAGATTTCATCTTTAAAAATTAAAAAGGTTGTGTTGCTGATAATGATTTGTGGCGTCATCTTAGGGTGAAATGAGTCTCACCAGCCGATGGAAATTATTCTGAAAGGAAGCTGTGAGAGGGAGCTTTCAAGTGTGCAAAAACTGAAAATAACTACCGGGTCGATTGCGTTAGGAGTAATTTTTAAAACAACATCATTCCATTAATGTTTGTGCTTTGTGACAAAACGCAGCCGAAGCAGCAGCCTGCGGGGAATTGCTCTTCATGCTGCAGAAATCCAATGTGCGGGGCTGGGGTGCAGCTCAGGGTGAGGCACTTGCGTAGCGTGCGCAGGGCCCTGGGATCCATCCCCAGCACTAGGAAAATATTTGTAAGAAACAAGCCAGGGCTGTTTCGAAAGCTACACACTGATTCCTTGACACGGTTGGTAGAGTGTTGTTCATACCAGCTGCATTTTTCCAGTCTCGCTTTTCACACTTCCTCAGAGGAAGCTGGAGACACTTCAGCACCCACAGTCCCGTCTCCTCTGCTCAGACCAGCAGGTGTGTGGCCTGCGGGTGGAGACCCACACCTCAACCCTGCTCGGGGCGCCTCGAGCAAGAAGACACTCAGCGACTCCCTGTGTCTTTGCAGGATCTTCCCTGAGTCCCTCCGGTGGCTGATGGCGACCCAGCAGTTTGAGGCCGCAAAGAAGCTGATCCTGCACTTCACACAGAAGAACTGCATCAGCCCGGAGAGCGACATCAAAGGCGTGATGCCGGGTGAGTACCGGGGCTGGTTCCGGCCCCACTGGCTGTTCAGCTCCCTGTAACCTCCTGGTCTGAGAAGGGCAACCTCGGGCACTGGTGTGGGACACTAACAGTGAATTGAGGTTCTCTCTGCTTTCTGAGTTCTGGTTTCTTTCATGATCTTATTCAACACACGCTGTTCATCCAAGTCCAGAAGCACGGTCGGAGCCTGACACCCAGCTGGCCTCACCGGGGGTACTGGCTGGGAACCCGCCAGAGCCTGGCTCAGGTGTCATGGCCTCCACAACCGCTGTCTCCCCAACTATCACCAGCAGAGAGATGCCGAGGTCTATTTCGGGCCATGACCTATTTGCCGGGCGATGGAAGGAATGAGCTGTTCTTGTGCAGTGCTTTGGATCCGCAGATTTGCTAGGAATTGGGCATTGCCACAGTCTAGGTGGGAATCCTTGAATGACACCAGGAAGGTGCTCACGTTCAGACTCCTCAGTCCTTCACCAGCACCCTGAAATGCTGACCTAGCAGATCTGAGGGAGCCCGGAGGGCTTGAACTTGTACTCAGCCCAGACGAGAAGAGGTTCCAGTGTGAGCGATGTACGGATCTGCTAACCCCGGTAGCCAAAGGCTCTGCCCCACCCTGACCGTCAGCCCTGGTGTACAGCGTTGTAAAATTCCCGGGAAAATGATCCACGGCCCTTGCCTGAGAGAGTACCCACTTTTCCCGATGGTCAGAAGTCCTTGTGCTGACCGTCCATTGATTCAGTTTAGCAGACGCTTCTTCCACAGCCGCTGTGTGTCAGCCACTGCTCTAGAGCAGAGAAGGAGTGGGACCAGGCTTGCTCTGCGGAGCACGCAGGCAGGAGCCCGCAAGGAGGGGAAATGCTAGCAGCGCGATGGTAGAGGGGGCGAGTGGCCGCAGTCAGAAAAGCCGGGGGGCCCGGCCCCAAGCTCCAGGAGAAAAGGACTTAAGCCAAGCAGGAAAGGGACCTGAAAAAAAATCAGATCAGAAGCCCATGGTACCTGCCAGGCTTCTCAGCAGACCCTGCTCAGGAGTCACCAGGCCCTGTGGCTCTGCCAGGCTCGGCCACACACTTGGCCCGCAGAGGTCAGGTAAAGTTCTGGCTTCCAGAGTGTTGAGTGCTGCGGCCTCTGGGGGCCCCTGTCCCTTTGGTCCCTGGGCAGGGATGATGAGCAAGATGGTACTTTTATGATGCTGATATGGCAGTCTGTTTCTACACGACATGCAAATATTAGCTTATTTAATCCTAAATGCTTTACATGAATGAACTTATTTCTTTACAGCCATCCTCTGGGGAGATGCTATAATGATCCCCATTTGGAGATGTGGAAACTGAGGCACACAGACCAAAGTGGTCTTGCCAGAGGTCACACAGCTACTAAGTAGTTGGGCTGGGACTTGAACCCACGAAGTCCAGTGGGAGCGGCTTCAGTTAGCTGCTCTGAGAAATGAGGGCGACCTCGGAGATTCGCATGGGAAGGAAGGAGTATTACGCAAAGGTTTCTCCTTGGGGCCTGGGGCTCCCCAAGCTTCTGTGTCCCCTTCCTGAGCAAGTTAATGCTCTTGTCTTACAGTGCGTTCATCTCAGGCCTCTTGTTAATCAGATCATCACGGTCCAGGTCGAACGGTGCCTAGGAAAGCTTGTTTCCTCCATCCTAATTGCACGGAACACGTTCCTTCCTGTTTTGGAGAGGGGCAGTAAGCCTTTGGTCTGCTGCCTTGCTTGCCTGCTTCTAGGTTTTGTTGGTTCCTGCATTTAGCCCAGATTCCCCTGGGCAGGAGATTGGATCAGAGGTAGTTGGCACAAGGACTTACCAGAGGAGAGATGTCGCCCCCTGGGGGTGGTGACTTCCCTTCTGCCTCTGGCTCTGTCGGCACCCTGCTGGCGGAGGAATTCATGACAGCACTCTACAAAACAGGCGCTGCAGCACCTTCCCAGACCCGCTTGTCCGCTCAGAGCCGTGCTCCCTCCTCTCCCCTCCCCCAGCCCTCTCCTGGTCTCCTCAGCTCCCAGCCCCGTGGTCCTACTGGCCCCTTCCCCTCAGGTGTCCCTCCATCTGCAGCCAGAATGGACACCAGCTGATCCCATCCACACCTGCGTGAAACTCTTAGGAGCCCCCTGTGGGATAAAGCACCACGGCCACCAGGTGGCAGAGGAGACGCTGCCCAACCTCCCCAATCCCAGATGCCTGCGTCTGCCCAGCTCCTGCTCCTCTCCCTGCAGGACCTGCCCCAGGAAGTCCTTCCTCTCTGACTCCCAGCTTGGCCAGCTCCTGGGGGCTCAGGTCCACCCTCAGTCTTGCTCTGTCACAGCTGTGACCCTTCACCCCGACTCCCCATCCCTGCTGTAACAGAGAGCTTGCAGGGCTCCTTGGGAGCGCCCCTGCGAATGGGTCCTGACTTGGGTTTATGCCCAAGGAAAACCTGATCTTCTGAAATGTCCCACTTCCGTCCCTCTTCGAAAGCTAGCTTCAGTTTATCTCTGAGCCGATGTGATGTTCTCAGTGGCACAAGTCGCTGAACGGCTTTAGACACTTGGCTGTGTTTCTGAGTGTCATTCTCACAACGTCCAGTGACACCCCAGTACGACAGCTGTCCTTCCTAGGTCCCACCGCCCAGGGTTTTGACCCTTTATAGCAGGTACGGCATCTCGCTGGTTCCGAATGTGGCTGTGTCGGCTGCAGCCCACCGGAGGAAGAAACCCTAGGCTAAGCCTGGGCACCTCCTGGCATCAGAGCCTCCGTGGGGGAGGGGCTCTCCTTACTTAATGGATGAGGGGGACCCGAGGGTGTGCGTGTGGGGGACCCCCATTGCCAAAGTCCCCCAACAGAAGTTCACCCCAGGGACAGATACACTGCCCTTTTCTTTTGGGGACAGCCATTCCTCCTGCCCTAAGCCCTCAGGGAACCCTCACTGGAAAAGCAAGCCTGACCCCAATGCCAGGATGCAGGGTTGGGGCCCTGCTCTCTCTTTTCTTTGTTTGTTTGTTTGTTTGTTTGTTTTCTGGTACCGGGAATTGAACTCATGACCTTGCACTTGCCAGGGAGGCGTGTGCCACTGAGCTAAATCCCCAGCCCCCCAAGCTGCCCTCTCACCTCCCACATGTGGCTCCCCCTGCCTGGTGAGCTGGAAGGAGCCCCAGTCAGCCACCCCAGCGTCCTGGCACTCACAGAGATGAAACATTTGACCGGGGCCCAGGCTCCTGACCCCTCTGGTGCATTACTTGCGTGCCTGTGGGTGGTGGGCTGGGGCCAGGGAGCCTGTGTGTCCTGAGAAGTGGCGAAGATTCCCAGTGCTGGGCCGGGTGTGCAAATGTGGATAGACTTGAAATCCTGCCGTCTGAGCTGACTTATGATCTAACCCGTAGTAAAACTCAGAAAGCACGCCTACCCAAGGATCAGATGCCACCGTTCTAGATCCAGACCAGAGGGTGAGAGACAGCAGCGCCTTCTGCATTTCTAACCATAGGCGGCACCCGGAGCCACCTCCCCGTGCTTCTGCTGTGCACCGTCGCGACTGTCCATGCGGCAGCTCTTCCTCTGTCAGTTTACAAACCACATAGGTGTGGCCATGTAGGGAAGCGGAACCTGTGCAGGGCTTTGTGCCCGCCAGGGGTTCAGGCATCTGCTGCTGTCCATGGTCTGGGCTAAGAAGGGACCTCAGTGCTTGCCCTGAGCCCAGCACATATGCATTGAGTGGACAAGGTGCTGCTTGTGGACCACATGCAAGAAGGTGTCCCCACATGCTGAGCCTTCCTGGCGATGCAACACCTCCTGGCTGCTCACTGACGGGTTTGGGAGGCAGGGGTGGCGCCGCAGAGGGAGAAGAGGATGAGGAAGAGCCACCGCCGTTGCCACAAGTCACAAGAAAAAGGTGCACAGTAAGAGATTAAGAATAACCAGTCACAAATAGTTTAACAGTGTACTGTTAAACTCGTGTGTAACTCGTGAATTTTTCTAGAATTTTCCATTTCATATTTTCAGACCACAGTTGATCTCAGTAATTGGGGGGATGTGTACAGCTTTCCCAGGGAGGCTAACAAGGGACACAGAGCCCAGCAGGCCAGGCCGTCCCCATGCTCAGATCTCAGGAGCTGAGCACACAAGGCTGGGGAAAGGCAGGGGACCAGGGCTGGACACGCCTGGCTGGTCCAAATGAAGTAGGCCTTGCTTGTGTTTTGACCTGAAATCTTTCTGACGGCTCTAAATCAAGACGGTTAAGCAGGGCCTGGTGGCACACGCCGATGATCCCAGCACTCAGGAGGCTGAGGCAGGAGGATAGTTTGCAAGTTCAAGACCACCCTGGCCTACAAAGTGAGTTCAAGGCCAGCCCGGACTATATAGTGAAACCTTGTCTCAAACAGAAGCAAAAGGTAAAAAATAAGAAGGTGGGAGAGTGTGGAGGGGACGAGGGGCAGTACTTAACAGCAGTATCCTGACGTGAACACTGATGGACTGCCCAGGTGCCTGGGGCCACTCCCTCCACTTCCACATGCCAGGGGTTTGGAAAAGTGCCTGGTGTACATTGGATAAGGAGAAGAACAAAAAGGCCTCTTGGACCCAGAGACCTCACAAGGCCTCCGCGTCGGCCAGTGCTACAGATATCGCAGAGCCCGTGGGCTCTGACCCCGAAGGACACTGCGAGCTGCAGTGTGGCCTGCTGGGTGGGCTTAGGAGCACAGACCCTGACAAAATATCAATAGCCCCAGAAAGGTCCATTGCATTCCACTTAGAAGAATGCGGTTACTTCTGAGGACTACAGTCAATTCTTAGACTGGGCTCTCGGGTTTAATGTTACTTAAAAGATAATTGAGGTCATAATGTAATTGCTGCAGGTTTAACATGGTATTTCATACAGAGTAATGCATTAATGGTCAAGTGTGGGCCACGTTAAAAAAAGCAACAACGTTAAGCTTGTATAAACACGCTAATGGACATTTGCTTTTATGTCCTTCTCGGAAGGTTGGCCTGGTAAGAAAGTGTGGATATAACAGGTGATTTCTGATGAGTTTACTGACAGCAAAGATACCAGATCTTTGGATCTAAGGATACTGCTAGTCATATTCCCAAGCTCTTTTTTTTTTTTCCCCCGGTACCGGGAATCAAACTCACGACCTTGCGCTTGCCAGGCAGGCACTGTGCTGCTGAGCTATATCCCCAGCCCCCACCCAAGCTCTTTAAAAACATTCACACACCACATCACAACATTTTGGTCAGTGATGGACCCCATACACAGCTGCAGTTCTATCAAATTTTAATGGAACAGAAAATTTTCCAAACATCATAGCTGTTTTAATGTCACAATGCGGCACATTCCTTTCATGTTCATAGTAAAACTGGGGACAACAGGCCTGCTTCAGTGCCAGTTGTATGAAAGTATGAATTCACAGTTATGGACAATGCATGATAACCTGATAGTAAATGGCTGTGATACTGATTTTGCATTCACTATGTCACACTTGTATTGCTGCTTTTTTTTTTTTTTTTTTTGCTGCTTTAGAATGTCCTTATTATAAAGAAAAGGTTGGCTATAAAATAGCAGCCTCATCCGTTGTTCTCTCCTGATCACCCTGGGACACCCTGTACCACCCAGGTTTGTGAGACACTGTGACTTTCACACGATGACACAATTCCCCGACTGCATCCACCAGCCCTGTCATCAGGTGACCAAGGAGTGTATTTACTGTTTTACTGTTCAGAAATGTGAGTCAGACGCGCCTGTTTTTGCTGAGGGCAGAGACCAGCCAGGAGGCCTGGGGAGTGGAGAGGGTGGGGGGACAGACAGCTGGATCCTAGTTGTTGTGGCTGAGGCACAGACCTCAACCTCTACGCCTAAAAATGGAAGGAAGAACATTCATGCTGTCCCTCTGGCAGAGGAAAGGCTTTTCCCTCTCCCTTCTACCCCGTGTGATGACGCAAGTCCAAACAATTGTTTAAATAAATTCCTCAACCCTTATTTTTAAGCAACATATTTCTTCCTCACATTATAAGGAATCAGGTTTGTGACAGATGCGCCAGGGAAGGAGAGTTGAACTTGGGTCATCCTGGGGTAGGGTAGGAGTGGCCCTAGGAAATAGCTGGGTGGGGCTCCTGGGTAGTGTTTCGGGGTACACGCCTCAGGGGAGCAGGAGGATTCTCTCCGAGGCAGCAACATTCACCCCTGACAGCTGTGAAGCATTGGTTTGAGGCTCCCCAGTATCTGCTGATGCTCAAGGCCTGGTATAAAACGGTGTCGTGTTTGCCTACAACCTACACACACCCTCCTGCGGGCCTTGAATTACTTCAAGGTGGTGCATTAGACCTGATTCCGTGTAACACTATGTAGACGCTTGTCACACTTTGTTGTTCAGGGAATTGTGGCGAGGTAAAGTCTGTGTGTGTTCAGTATTGATGCCATTGTTTTTCCATATATTTAGCTCCCTGCTTGGTGAAATCTAGAACACAAATCCTACAGACACGGAGGGTGGGCTGTGTAAGCTTCAAGCCCTAAAGATTTCCTCGATAGATAGAGGTGTTCCATCTCTATAGACGTTTTTTATTGATGATACATTTCTTATTTGGGGATAATCTCATACTTATAGGGAAGTTGCCAAGACAGCGCAGAACCTCCAAACACCCATTTCAGCTTCTGCACTGACACTGCCCGTGATCTGACGACCATGGTGCATCTGTCAACAGTGGTCAGGCGTAGTGGAACCTCAGCCAAACTCCTGTGTGCTGCCATCGCTGGTTTCCCATTAGTGAGCTGCAGATGCAGGCAGCCTCTCCTGTCCCCGTGGCCTCTGGTCTGGGACAGTGTCTCAGTCTGCCCTGCTTCCCTGCCAGTGCTAAGGACCTGTGAAGGCTCGGTGTCCTCCCAGAGCCCCTGGTTAGGGAGCAACTCCACAAGGACATGTGCAGCTGGCCACAGAGGGCGCAGAAGGCCGAGGCGGGGGCGCTGCTGCTCACGGTGTGCGGCAGGCTGCTCGTGGAGGCTGAGGCTTTGCTTGTTTTGATCGTCCCAGTTAAACTGCCACATGGGCTCCAGGACACCCGCCAACTCCTGGCCTGGCACGACGACAGCAGAGCACAATCAGACGCAGTCAGGATGGCTTTTGAGGGAGTCTCTGTCTTATGCTGTGTAGCGGGACACATCCCTCTGAGTGAAGCAACATCCGTCTTGTTCAGCTATGACGTGTTTTGTGCTGTCAGTGCTGGGGATGGAACCTGGGGTCCCCCGTGTGCCGAGGACTTGTTCTATCACTGAGCTACACGCCCAGCCCCCGCCCAAAGACTCCCGGCTGTTGGCTGAAACACATTCGTATGCATGTGTACACGTGGGTGTGTGTATGTGCATGTATACACACATATACACGTGTGTCCATGTGTTTATTTGCCTTTCAAAGACCCATGTGCTCCTAGGAAGCTGGACAGAAGTAGCCGCGGTCGTGGCCCACTGCTCTCTGAGCGCAGGGTGACCGATGCTGGTGGATTCCACAGCTCCTCGCCTTTGCCCAGGGCCTAATCCCTGCGTGCCGCGCTGGGGCGCGGTGATCTGAGGCCATGCTGTATTCATCTGTGCGTAGGCTGCCTGGCTCGGTAACACGGTTTGCAGGGGAAAGTCACACTGCCGTGTGCTCTGGGGCCCGGCCAGGCTCCACGGGGAACTTGAACAGTGAAGGGAGAGTCTTGTGAGTCCTGGAAGCCTAGGGCCCCGCCCTGGCTTCAGCGGAAAGCGAGGGCTTTCTCTGCGTCGCCCAGCCTCACACTCTGTCTCTTGCAGAGCTGGAGAAGGAGCTGTCCCGGAGGCCCAAGAAGGTGTGCATCGTGAAGGTGGTGGGGACCCGGAACCTGTGGAAGAACATCGTGGTCCTGTGTGTGAACTCGTGAGTCCCAGGGACACCTTGCCCGAGCCGCGGCCTCCTCCCTACCCAGGCTGGATGCGCTGTGGCTGGCTGGGATGGGGGACAGGGAATGCGACACTGCCCACCATAGCCACCTGTCTGTGGTCAGAAAGGGACAGGGCTTAAAGATGTCCACAGCCCCGCCAGGAAGCCTTGTGTCCCAGGCAGGGCTGGGGCTCCCCAGGGGCCATGGGAAGGACGAAGGCAGCCGCTGTGCTCTCTCCCTGCAGCCTGGTCTGCTCCAAAGCCCCTACATGGGCAGCTGCAGAAAGTGGCAGTTCCCTGACACCAGGCATGTGCCCAGATGCCCCCAGAGGCCCTGCCCTGCCGCTCATGCCCACCTCCTGCACTCACGCTTTCTGGGCAGCCCCTGTCTCAAGCCTTAGTGTCACCCTGGAAGGTCCTTCCTGTCTCTGCTCACAGATCAGTGACCCTGCCCTTCCTGGCTGCATGAGGCAGACCCTGTTCTGGGGTCAGAGGTCATCTGAGGAAAGGGCTTTGCACTTGTTTGTGAAAGGTCTCAGGGCTGCCATCGGGTAGAGAGGCCAAGGATCAGGGCCTCCATTTCCTCCCCACTCTTTTCCATCACAGTATCTATTTTAGCCAGCTGTTGATACTGGGGTTGCAGACTAAATTTCATTTGGGCAGGATACGAAAGGTCTCACTGCCACACAACACAGGAGCAGAGAGCCAGTCACCTCCTGATCTCTCCACCCTCGACTGAGGCCAGGCCAGGCCCCTCAGGCCCTGGGAACAGCCACCAGATGCTGTCCAGTCTCAGAAAGTTGCTGGCCAGGCTGGTGGTGCCATCAGGAATGGAATGACTTCTTCAACTCTGAGTTTAAAAAAGCTGGCATTGAGAAGTGGTGCGTTTCCATTTTAGTGATTCCTGTGACAGGACAGGAAACCGATCCCCCTGGTCTTGTTATTTTAAAATTACCTGTTGGGGTAGAATACTTCATCCCTCCCAGAATAAAACAGTAACAGCCCTGAGAGCTCAGCAGGCCAGGAAGAAAAGAAACTCATGCAGGATCCCAGGAGACTAACCAAGTTGGTTCCAACGGTTGCTCAGAGGAGCTGGGTCCTCCTGGAGGGTCTACCTGGGGCTTCCATGGCAGGGGCAGGGTCTGCTGCAGTTGACCTTGGTGCATGCTCAAGGTCAGATGAAAAGCCCTTGAATTTCTCCACAACACGAGAGGATGTTTGGGAGACGGGGTGTTCTGCGCTCTGGGGTGCACGTGGAGGCCTGGCACGGTGAATGGGCTATCGCAGGGCCACAGGCGTGTCACACCCCGCCACATCCCAGAGGGCCCGGCAGAGCCCTCATCACCTGCCACGCTGGGCGTGCTTGGCCTTATTTCCGTTCTTGTTTTCAGCGTGGCTGTGCACGTGGCACCAGGGACGCTGGTCTCCCGCAGAGTGACACTGAGGGCAGGGAAGGGCCGGACGCAGGCTGTGAGAGGGCGCAGGGATAAAGAAGGAGCTGAGACCTGCATGTAATCCACGTGTCTTCCTTTGGTCTGACAGCTGTCGGCTTCTCCCAGCTGTCCTGGTTGAGCAGTGGCAGATATAGGTGGAAGAAGTAGCTCTCGGGATGGATCCCCAGGTTTCCAGAACGCTGAGTGCCCCAAGAGGAGGCAGGCATTGCAGAGGCTGCACTGCCCACCTGGGAACCACCCTCACCTGTTTGCCCCCCTGGGAAGCAGGCACAAGGGCGGTGCCCACAGCGCTGCCCTGGCACTGGGTGGGGGCACAGGAAGCGCCTTGTAGTGCATAGTGGATCCCGGGAAAGAGTCCGCATGGACGCTTCCTTGAGGTCTTTTCTTTCACATTTCGCTCTGTCATAGGCTCATGCATGGTGACAGCTGCTTCCCCCTCACACGCTCAGTTACTTCTCCTCCTGGTCACCAAGAGATGGGGTGACCCTGCAGTCCATGCACACCGCCCACTGTCCCACTCTGTGTCTCCCACAGGCTGACAGGGTACGGGATCCACCACTGCTTTGCACGGAGCATGATGGGCCACGAGGTGAAGGTGCCGCTTCTGGAGAACTTCTATGCTGACTACTACACCATGGCCAGCATCGCACTGGCGTCCTGCCTGGCCATGTGCGTGGTGGTCAGGTTCCTGGGGCGCAGAGGGGGCCTGCTGCTCTTCATGATCCTCACCGCCCTGGCCTCCCTGCTGCAACTGGGGCTCCTTAACCGTGAGTGGGCAGAGAGGGGACTGGTGAGAGGGTGCAGGGTGGGGGCTGGCAAACCACTGAAGAAGGTCTGAAGGTACACTGGCTTTCTGTTACGGTAACAAAATGCCAGGGATGATTGACTCAAAAAGAGGAAAGGTTGGCGCTGGCTCACAGTGTCGGAGGGGTCAGTCCATGGTTAGTTGGCCCACTGCTTTTGAGCCTGTGGTGCACGCTCCATGTCATGGTGAAAGCATGTGGCAGAGGAAGGTGCTCACCCCATAGTGACCGAGATGCAAAAGACAGTGGAAGAGGAGGGGCCGGCACCCACAGTCCCCTTCAAGGGCACCCTCACTGGCCTACCTTCCTCCCACAAGGCCTTACCTTTAAAAGTTTCCACCGTCTCCCCATAACTAGAGACCTGTTCTTCAACACATGGGCCTTCAGTGGACATTTGAGATCTAAACTATAGCAGAAGAGCTGAGAAAAGTGTTCTGTGACCCAAGTGGGCATTCCAAAATTCACAGGTTGAAGAAACAGCTTTGGCGAAGATGGAGCTTAAATTAGCATCTCTGGGCTCTGCCTTCAGGGGGTGCTGGGTCTTCCTTCCCCTCCTGTGGCCCTGCTCTGAGCATCCCAGCTGTATGATGACCCCAGCACACCAGGCCTGCAGGTCCTGGTAGATGTGACTTCTCTGGAGCTGACTGTTTCTATGGAATTTATCACATGACAGAAAAAGCCAACGTGTTTCTTTTGTGTGACTTTAGGGGGAAAATGAATCTGTTTTAACACCTTGCATGGAGTCCTGACTTCCCATAGATTTTCCCAAACTATGCAGCTTCTCCTTGAACTCAAGAGTTTCTCAGTAACTATTAGAAATAATCTAAGGCAAAGCTAAAGAGTACATCCAGCCCCTCCAGCAAGCTCAGGGTAGTTGCTCCTGAAACACGCCAGCCTGTGTGTGTGGAAGCAGCACTTGGCCTTCCCAGCTGACCGCTGGGCCACCTTCTCGTGGCTTGGACCCTGGGGAAAGCTATGCTATGAATGCCCCCTTCAACACAAGGAGAGCAAAGCCCGGCTGCCACAGTTAGACCCAGTGCCTGCCCCTCGCGCCCACACCAGAGCACCAATGACAGCCAGGCTGTTTTCAAACCCGAGAGCAATTTTTCCACCTCAGGCAAAGTCCTGTACCGCCCACGCTTGCTGGGAGGCAGATCTGATTTGCAGCTGGACCTGGTCATGGAAATGGACAACGGTATCTGTCTCCCTGGGCCGCTAGCTGTCCTTCCAGGGAGCAGCAGCCCAGCTCACACAGTTGGGGTGGATGTGGCTGGGGGCCCCTAGCCCCCGGGGTGCCGCAGAGCCCTCCTTGGCCCAGAGCAGGAATGCCACAGGAATTCTGGGCAGAGTGCAGGGAGCTGTGAGGAGCAGAGCTTGGGGAGGCAGCAACAAAGCCTGGCGCATGCACCCCTGCGCTGCCTGTGCGCTCAGACGTCAGGGTCCTTACCGAGTTTACATGCAGGGAAATTCACCTAGGACCAAGAAGGTCTTTCCTGAAGAGCTGCGGGGCCTGCCCGGGCTCTGAGGCCAGCGGGGCGTTCACCCTCCGTCTTAACAAAAAGCTGTTTGTTCGGTCCAGTGTGAATTCCGGTGCTCAGGCGCTGGCACCAACCCAGACACTCCGGGCACTTGCTCGGCGACAAGTCACGTGGGCGCACGCAGCCCGCACCCACCCCTAACTCGCCTTCTCCTTCTCTCCCTCTCTGGCGTCCTTGCGCCTGCGGGCGCCGTCATTCGCACTGCGCAGTGATCGGGAAGTACAGCCAGCACCCCGACTCAGGTGAGTCCCAGACGCCCGCGCCTGCGCAGGCTCGGCTCCACTGCGGCCTCGTGGGCGTTTGCAGAAAGACTTACTGACTGGTCTCCATTTCCTCTCTCTTCTCCCCTCTTTGCCCTCCAAGAATTGCAGCTGAAGTTGGCCGTAGGTTGGACACTATAAGCATACATTTGTATTCCCTGCCCTTTTCCGCTAGAGAGAGCGATTCGTGCTGCCCAGTTCTGCTCAGCTTGGCCCGCATGCCCTCCCTGTCCTGCAGTCAGTGCAGCGCCGGGGCAGTTGGTCCCGTGGACAGAGCCTGGCGGGATCAGAAGCCCAGGAATGCTGGGCTTGGCTGGCTGTGCTACCCGGAAGCTTTGTCCCTTTCGGACCCTCAAAATCTCGCTGCTCTCCGCTCGGACAGCAGAACCACCGGGCTGCTCCTGCTGCTGCTCCTGCTGCGCATGCCCGGCCCCGCCCGAGCCGCGCCCCCTCCGTGCCTCCCTGGGTACTCAGGGAGGCCCAGGTGTGCGGCCCCCAAGTGCATGTGCTGCGCTGCGCTGGACGCCGCCTGTGCACCCAGGGTCCGGTGCCAGTGTCGTGCGCTGGGAATGCCGAGCACTTTCCCCCCCAGGCCTGTGAATTCTTCTGTTTCGTTTATTTGAGCTTTTGACTCAGATGCCCTGGCTCTGGCTGGGAAAGCCTGAGGCTGAGACGGCTGAGGCTCCCTGCCTGCCAGGGGACGGCGTGGAGGGGCCGTCGTGTCCTCCTAGGCACCGCTACTGGCACGGGTGCTATGGCAGGCCGCTGGGAGCTGGGCGTGCTTGGTGCACAGGGACCCGCGGGAGCCGGCGCAGTCCTCACCCAGAGGTCCCCGCCTCTGTGCCTTCGAGGCAGCTGCGCGCCCACAGGTCCCTCAGAGCCGGGCGGTCCTGGCTCCCGCCCTCACCCGTTCTCCTCCTGCCCCCAGGGATGAGTGACAGCGTGAAGGACAAGTTCTCCATCTCCTTCTCCATCGTGGGCATGTTCGCCTCCCATGCTGTGGGCAGCCTCAGCGTGTTCTTCTGCGCGGAGATCACCCCCACGGTGATAAGGTAGGTGACGGGGTGCCGCAGGGGCCCGCCCAGCTCTGCCTGTGCAGTGGCTGGAAAGGAGCAGGGTCTACTTCAACTGAAATCAGAGCTCCTAGCCCTTCTGAGAGGCCTCAGTAACAAAGCTACTTCAAAAGAAAAACAGAAGCAGGCACCTGCAATCCTAGCTATGTGGAGGCTGAGGCAGGAGGGTCACAATAGTCAAGATCAGATTGAGCAACACAGTGAGACCCTCCCCCATCTTAAAATTACTTAAGAAAGGAAGTGAAAAGGACATTTATTGTCATTTACCAGCGTGAGAAGTCGGGGTCACTGATCCACAGGAAGGTCTCAGGCCCAGCGAGTTGTACCGATGATCAAGCTGGGAAGATTCACTGAGAGCCGCTAGGGGCCGGGTCCACTACCCGACCGATAACACGGCACAGCGGGCCTCGCAGAGCTCGCTTAGCCCCGCTTCCCTGCAGGGCGTCGTCATCCTGCGCTCGCGGCTTCGGCTTTTAATTCCTAACAGGAGGTTCCCCTGTCCAGCGCACGCCCGTGGGAGTGCACGGAGGATACTGTTTAAAGTGATGACGACGAGGACGCAACAGAAGTTCAGTTACTTAAGAGCGTGTTTATTACCTGTCTGTAGTCACACTGCTCCCCTGCTGCAGGCTGAACATTTCCCTATCTGAAAAATGTAAAAGTGAAAATGCTGCAAAATCCAAAACTTTTCCCACAGGTCTACACCACAAAACTTTCTCTTTATAAAAGAATCCAACAGAGAGGCGTCTCTCAATAAAGCCAAGTCCAAGTTGATGTCTCGGGCTTCCTGCTGGCCCCTGGCAGCCGTGGAGCTTGCGATGCCCCTGGGAGAGGCACCACTGACCTCCGGTGGTCAGCGGCCTCCTTACCCCAGTCAGACTTACTCAGTGAGCTAGAGGGCAGGAAGTGAAACATCCGCTTCCTCTTTGGTGCAGACCTGGAAAGATTATTTCAGAATAGGGATTCAACAAATGTGTGCTGAGATTCAGTTTCCCGAGAAGACCAGCTACAAAAGATATCTGACCCAGAGTGGAAGGGGCTGAGTCCTGGGGCGCCTGCCAGGTTGGATGGCATCCATGCCCCTGGTAAACCTCACTTCTCACCCGCGTGTCAGGGTCCCTGGGGTGCACATGTGCTTTCGCCCCACTCTGCACGGGTGAGTCCACGGCCAGCTTGGGCCTTCATCTTCATGCAGACCTTGCTTTTCCACAGTGCTGTATTAACAGCAAACCTCCTCGCAAGAACAGTAGCAAAGATTAAGACACCAGAGGGCTGGGGACGCAGCTCAGTGGTAGAGCACTTATTTAGCATGTGTGAGGCACTGGGTTCAATCCCCGTACTGCAAAAAAAAACAAAAAAAAAACAGTTCTCAATTCTCTTAGGTGGGTGTGGTGGCGCCCACCTGCAAGCCCAGCACTCCACTCAGGAGCTGAGGCAAGAGGACTGCCTGGAGTTTGACACCAGCCTGAACTATATATCGAGACTCTGTCTCAAAAAACAAAACAAATAGAAATGCCAGGAGTGACTGGACGCACACACCAAGTTAGAAAGTTCTCTGCACAAGTGCTTGTAAAACCACTGTCCACAAGACGAGGGAGGCTGAGTAGAGGAAGCTGGGTCTTGCCTCCCGAGACAGCGTCCAGGCTTCGCGTGACAGGGACCGCGGCCCGCCACCTCGGCCCGGTCCAGACCACATTTGCCATCCTCCAGCTCACCGTGTCCGGGCCTTGGGGCCGCACTGCCAGGGCCTTGGGGCTTGGAGAGTTGCAGACAGGCTGGGAAAGAAACTGCGTCAGACGCTGCATCTCTCCCGGCTCGGGCGGAAGTGGCCTGGGGTCCCAGCTTGTTCCGGAAGTGGCTGGTGGCTCTTTCGTGACCGGACCCCTGTCTGCTGTCCACCTGGAGGCGCAGGTCAGCAGGGACCCGCACAAAGGGGCGAGGCTAGGTGGGCACAGCAGCTCCGTGTCCGTGTGGCTCCTCACAGGTCCTGGAGCCCTGACACCGGCTGCTTGGCCCCCGCAGACCCTCTGAACCCTTCTGCCACTTGCCCTACCCCACACTGACGCCTCCTGCTTGCTCCCCGACCTGTGCAGCCTGAGAGGTTCTGCCTTGAGCCAGGCTCACGTCAGCTGTCACCTGTGACCTGTACGCGCTGTGCAGTTCAGAATCTGCACAGATGCTTTTAAAGTGTGTGCCTGAGGCAGAAACTAACAAATAGTGAGTGGGGGACGAGAAGCCATGCATGCCCCACGCCCACAGCTCTGCAACGCGGCGAGGAAGCCAGGTTCGCAGGCACCAGGACCTCCAGGCTCGGGCTGGGGGGACCCCAGATGCCGGGAGTGAGTCACCGGCCACTCTCGTGTCTCTGCCTCCAGGTGACACCTGCCCTGTCAGGTGGCAAGGAGTGGAGTGGGAGGGGGCAGGCATCCAGGCCTCCTGCTTCTGCGCCTGCAGATTCGGCCCACTAGATGGAAATACTTGGAGAGAAAAGTGTTTGTTCTGAACATGCAGAGACCTCTGGGTCATTATTTCCTAAATAATACAGTCTAACAGCTGTTCACTCGGGTAGCAATTACTGTCTCAGGCATTCTAAGTGATCTGGAGATTTACAGTCTACCCAGGAAGGCGAGTGTAGCTTCTGGTAAATCCCGTGTGATTTTATTTGAGGGACCTGAGCATCTGAAGGTTCTGCTGTTCGGGGTCCTGGAGCCACACCCCGGGTCCCCAAGGTGGGACTACATGTAGCAGGGCCTGGCTTCAGTCAGTGACAGGGGCTGCTGTTGTTCCTGCCTGGATATTGGGGCAGTTCCGTTTCGCTAACAACTGTTACACATATGTGTTCACCCTGGCCTTTGAAAAACTGTGGTGAAGACAAGAATATAAAAGAGGAAGCAAAAAAAAAATGAGAGGTTTGTTTCTTGTGTTAAAATACCAAAAGGTGATGCTCCCATGTTTAACAACACACCGAAGATTCTGCAGATTCAAGCTTCTTCTGGGTCTGCCTGTATATCGCCTTTCTGTCCTTAAAGCTGTCGGGACATTCTTACTAGCAAAATACAGGTACTTGGTGAGGTCAAATTGTTGTGCTCCTGAAGCACAAGGGAGTAGACCTTGCTCCATGCTCTTCTAGCTATAAATCTTAAGTCCTGCAGGTGTCTCCTATGGAAACACGGGCGTGGGCTGCCCTCTAGTGGTGACCTGCAGAAAATGCCTAGCCACTGTCTGCATTATGGTGGAGAAGGTGCTCCCCTGGGCACCTTAGAACCAAGCCTATCTTACCCACTAGCGATTTCACCGGAGGAAAAACCCAAGCCGGAAATGGCAAACCAGTTTCCACCAAGATGGTCCTATTGCTCCAGGACTTCAAGGAATCCCCCCTCTTTTTTTTTATACTGGAGTTTGAACCCAAGGCCTTTGCACTGAGCTACACCCCAGCCCTAGCCTTTGTTTTTTTTTTTTTTTAATCTTGAGACAAAATCTAAATTGCCTGGGCTGAGCTCAGACTCGCAGTCCTCCTGCCACAGCCTCCTGGAGTATTGGGATTATAAGTGCTACCGTGCCCAGCTTCAAGGAATCTTTGATAGAAAACCAAAATCTAGATCTAGAGCTATAGATATAGATATATGGAGAGAGACTCATGCAGCCCCTAACAACAGGATATGTTCTGCGAAGTGTGTCATTAGCCGATTCCATTGTTGTGTGGACATCCTGGAGTTCAGGACATGGGCCTAGATGGCCTAGGTCACTCACACGACAGGCGGGGCCACAGATAAATGAAACTGCTGCTGTCACACGGCCCACTGTTCTATCGTTAACTTTTGGAAGTAGCAGCGGTCCACTCTGCATTCACATAGAGAGTCCAGCTTAGTCATACACCAGCCAGCAGCAGAGCTGAGCGTCACATCCTATGCACAACTGTGTGTTGTGCTTTTCTGTCCCTGGCTGCACAGCAGGTGTGTTTCCGCCAGCTTCTCAGAGACACATACACTGTGGCGTCACCAGGCAATGGGAATTGTTCAGCGTGGTTATAATCCATGGGGTCCAGTCGTGTCTGGCTCATCACTGGCTGAAACACTGTTCCGTACCGGTGACAGTATTCCGTGGTACGTGTGCTTATGAATGTATATCGAGTGCCATATGCACACAGGGCTTTTTTTTTTTTTTTTTTTGTTTCTCCCCAGTACCGGGAACCGAACTCGCAACCTTGCGCTTGCCAGGCAGGCACTTTTGCCGCTGAGCTAAATCCCCAGCCCCCCACACAGGGCTTTTTTAAATGAGCCGCAGATAAAACATTCACTTGCCATGGTTTATTAGCATAATGCATGCATTTACACTGCCTGGCACTGTGGCAGGGGACCTGGAACATCAGCTCCGTGCAGCCTCTCAGGGTCTACATCCTGCCTTCCTGTGCAGCAGGGTGCCGTCCACACTCAGTGCCGGGAAGGGCAGGTGGACACCAGGGAGCATCAGGGAAAATGGTGTCGTGCTGGTCTCGAAGGGCCCGACCGACCACACACACCCATTATCCCAACATCTGATTACCTCGTTCCTGCCACCCTGCGGCTTCCTGATAGGGCCGATTTATCTGAAGTATTGAGAGGCTGTTTTAGGTGTGCATCGTACTCACCCGAAAAATGAACATGACCTCACTCCTCTTGGTTGTGGTCATCTATATTTAACCTGTCCCATTCGCTTAGGTGGCCAGAACTTCCTACCTAGGGAGCCGGTGGGATCCACAGCATCGGATACTTATGAAGTGCAGTACGCGTCAGTTGGTGCTGTGGAGAATAATCCGTGCCCTTGAGGGGGCCGTGTGAAGGCCATCAGGCATCTGAGCAAATATTAACAGGAAGAGGCACGCGGTCCTGAACCTTCTGTCTGAAAACGGGGTTGGCATCTGGGAGACACCCCCAAAAGTACCGCACCTTATTTGCATCCCTGATGGGCCAACAGCTCGCTGGTGTGACTTCCACACAGTGGCTGTGGGTCGGCGTGGCACAGCCTAGCTGAGTCCTGCTCAGGGATGGGGACAGGATGTGCCCCCAACTCAGCAGCCATTGGCAGGGCCAGTTCTTCATGGGATGTGGACAGAGGGGCTCAGCTCCTTGAAGGCTTTGGCCAGGGCCCCTGTGGTCCTTGCCTCAGGGACCTCGACAATGTAGCTGCTTACGGATGGCAGCCAGCAGGGTGCTCCAAAGCCAGTCTGCTGTGACCTAGTCATGCAGGGACGTCTCACTGCCCGTGCTGTGCTTTACCGTTTGGAAGTGACTGACTTGTCCCTTGAAGTCAAGCCGAGCCTACGCTGAAGGCACAAGCGTAGACGCCGGGAGGGAGAAACTCACAGGGGCCTGACCACAGTGCAGTGATGCTCGGGCTGTGGCTGGGTCGGGGCTGAGGACAGGAGCCGAGCGACCCTTGTTTTGCCCTTCAGAGCCTCTGAAGCTGGTCAGAGACATAGAGAGGCACTATGAGTGTCCTAGGGGGGCGCCAGGATGTCCCACAGTGCCATGGGAGCAGCAGCGAGCCTGGACCTCAAAGCTGGCACCAACAGAGATCTAGAAGCCGATAGGAGCCTGCCCCAGCACCGGGCCACCTCCCCCGCACACCCAGCCCAGTACAAGAACTGGGTGGGAGGCAGTAGAACCCTCCCCTCGGTGTCACTGAGAAGACCCCAGCCACAGGGCTCGGGCTGCCAAATGCCGTGACGAGCATGGCAGGACGCAGACTCTGGCCCGAGCAGCCATGGTGGCTGTGCAGCAGGCAGTGTAGACGGTCTCAGGTGCGTGGGAAGAAAAATGAAGCCTCAGTGGCTGCCTGGACGGGACCCTGTGAGACCCTGTCCCAGCAGGAGACCCAGCCGACACAGCTGGGAGTTTGCGGGTTGCATTCACAGCACCACTGAGCTATAGCTACACACCCCACATGCATCCATTTAAAGCTTACAGTAGGTGACGGACTGAATTTATAGTGCGGGGCCTCCATGGCCACAGTCCGTTACGTGACATTTTATCGCCCGCCCCCCAGAGCCCTTCGTGCCCCTTTGCATTCCGTGTCCATCCTCACTCCCAGCCCCGGCAGTCGCTCACCTGTGTCCTGTCTCTGTAGATCGGCCCTTTCTGACATTTCACGTAAATGGGATCAGACAGGCCCCCAGCATGCTTCTAAAATCACCGTGGTGTAGCGTGTGTTAGCGTCCGTTCCCCTCTTACGGCTGACTCATATCCGCTCTGTGTGGTGGGCCACGTTCCCTTTATCCAAGCACCAGCCCGTGGGCGTTTGGGCCGTGCTGGGTCCGCCTCTTAGGAATAACGCTACCATGAGCATTTGCTTGTCAGTTTTTTATGGGTGTGTGTTTTCCACCTGTTCCACACGTGGAATTGCTGGTTACATAAAAACTTATGTTTAGCCTTTTAAAAAACTGCTGATCGGCTTTCCAAAGAGGCTGCGAGCAGTACAAATATACGAGGCTTGTGAAACGGTCTGGTATCTCCGCATCCTGCTCAATGCGCTATTTATCCTTTTTCATTACAGTTCTCCTAGCAGGTGTGCAGTGGTGTGGAATTGTGGTTTTGATTTGCATTTTTCTAATGATGAATAATGCTGTGTTTCTTTCTATGTCTTGTTGGACATCTGTGGCTTGCACAGTTTCTTTGGAAAAAAATTTCTATTGAGATCTCTTGCCCACTTTCAAAATTGGGTTGTCTTCTTTTTTATTTAGCGTTCATTATATATTCTGAATACACACTATTTATCCGTTATTTGCCTTACAAATGTCCCAGTCCAGAACCTGTCTTGTCCCCTCCTGGGGCATGTATCCTTGGAAATGTAGACGTGTTTAATTTTGATGAGGCCCAGCTAGTCAGCTTTCTTTCATAGATCTGCATTTGGTATCATAGCTCAGAGTTCTGCCTGACCCGGGGCCACACAGATTTTCCTGTTCTGCTTTCTTGTAGAAGTGCTGTGATTTTGAGCTCTCATGTGCAGGTTCTGTGCTTCATTTTGAGTTCCCCTTTTTACATGATGTGAGGTAAAGCGCTGGCTTCACTCTTCTGCATGTGATTATCCCATTATGCAGCACTGCCTGCTGAAAGGACGGGCTTTTGTGCCACTGAATTTGCTTTTGGAAAAGTCAGCCAGAAGTGTAAAGGTTTGTTTCCGAACGCCCTATTCTGTTCCACTGATCTGTCTACCGATACAGCAGCACAGCAACTGTCCTAACTCACGTAGCTTCAGAGTAAGTTTTGGACTGGGAAGGTAACTCTTCCAACTTTGTTCTTTTCCAAAATTGTTTTTGGCTACTCTAGATCCTTTGCATTTCCATATAGATTTTAGGATCGAATCATCTTCTTAAAAGAAAGGGGAAGAGGAGGAGGAGAAAATCAGCTGGGACTTTGATAGGGGTTGTGCTGAATCTGTCGATCAGCTTGGGAAGAAATGCTCCGTTCAGTGCTGTGTCTCCCGATCCATGAACATGGAATGTCTCTCCATTTACTTCTGTCTGCTTAAATTCCCTCAATAACGCTTTGCTGTTCTTAGTATGCAAGCCTTGCTTAGTTTTTGTTATTTATTCCTAAGCACTTCACTTTCACTTTCAGGTAGTTTGTAGCTAACGCATGGACACACAGGTAGCATGTCGGCTCTTGGTGTTAGTCCTGTGACAGTGGTTTTGTGAGTTAAGAGCCACCTACAGTGCCAACCAAGAGAACTGCAGACCAGTCAATAGCTGGAATTGCATGCGAACTTCCTGCCCACTGCGGGGACCTCCCCTCAGCCCCTTTGCCTCGAAAGTCCGGGGACAGAGGTCCCTTCACTCAGAGTGGTGCACAGGTCTCGAGCGGCTCTGTTAGAAATTTCTTCCGTAAACTAACTGAAGTCCCCATCCCTGTACACTGTGTTCTGGGGCTGGACACGCAGTTCTCCTTCCACTCCTTGGAGACAAGAGCACTGTCGCCTGTTCCCCTCAGTGAGGCCCCAGAAAAGCCCGTTCTGCCCTGGCCTGCCATCTGAGCTCCACCCCCACTGTAGCCCAGAAATGAACACCTGAGCCTTGGTACAGTGCTGTGCATCAGTTCGTCCTGCTGAAACCCTCCCTGGGCTCCCTCTCTTGGCAGAGAGGTGGAGCTAAGTGGCTCTGGCTCGGTTCGGTCCTCTGTGCGTTCAGAGCCGCTGTGCAGCAGGTGTCTCTCGGTCAGTCCATGGCCTCATTTCTGGGCCATTCTGACACAATCCGCAGAGTGGGCCAGTGTGCACTGGTGGAGCACATGCTGATGGCAGGAGACACACAGGATGACTTATCGGGGGAAATCATTGTCTTTAAAGTACAGATATCGGCCGGGGATATAGCTCAGCGGCACAGCGCCTGCACGGCCAGCACAAGATCCTGAGTTCAACTCCCGGAACCAAAAACATAAGTAAAGTGCAGATATCTTCAGTGTCTTGGATTACGATGAAGAGAAAGTCTCTTTTAATGTCCTCTCTCACCCCTGGTCATCCTCCATTTCCTATTTTAAAGCGTTGGGGTCATAGCACAATTTAATAACACTGTGGTTTTTTTCTGTTTATCATTTATGGCAAATACCTCTGTGTGGGGTTTTTCTGTCACTCCATTTATAGTAGGACTCCAAATTAAGTTAAAGGTTTAGAGCTGATAAAGAAAACAGTTGCTGAACTAAAGAGGATCCACAGATGGGCCTCCGGGAAGGTGGGTCAGGGAGTCCCGCCTGTGGGACAGTGACAGGCAGGGGCAGAGCTTCCCCGGTGTCTTAGCCTGTCTCCTTATGCTCTAACTGCATGCCACAGACTAGGTAAGGTTTACTCCGCTCCCGGGAAGGCTGATGGTCCCGTGTGGGGCTTTCCCACTCCGGGGCACTGTGCTGGTGACGCGGCCTCTGCTAACCCTCGCGCTCTGCCTTCCCCGCAGGTGCGGCGGGCTGGGGCTGGTGCTGGCCAGCGCGGGCTTCGGCATGCTCACCGCGCCCATCATCGAGCTGCACAACCAGAAAGGCTACTTCCTGCACCACATCATCTTTGCCTGCTGCACGCTCATCTGCATCATCTGTATCCTCCTGCTGCCCGAGAGCAGGGACCAGAACCTGCCCGAGAACATCTCCAACGGGGAGCACTACACGCGGCAGCCGCTGCTGCCACACAAGAAGGGGGAGCAGCCGCTGCTGCTCACCAACGCCGAGCTCAAGGACTACTCGGGCCTGCACGACGTGGCCGCTGCCAGCGACGGGCTGCCCGAGGGCGCCACAGCCAACGGCATGAAGTCCATGTAGCCGCGAGCCGCTGCCCCTCGAGCCTCGGGGGCTCCGGGAGCTGTGGGGAGTTCGGGCACAAGTTGCCAGAGCGGGGCAGGCCTGGCCGGGTCAGAGAGGCCAGCTCTGTTGCGGGTGCTGCCCGACTGTGAGGCTTTCAGCTGGTGTTGGGAAATTCTGTCTTTCCAAAAGTCCAAGGAATGGGTTGGAGGAACAGACTCTTCGGAAATAACCCTTCAGAGACTTTCTTTTCTGCCATTAAATGTTTGTATTTATTTTGGTCATTTTTACGAGAAGCACTTTATTCCCTCTCCTCTCACTGATCATGGAGTGGAACCGCTGCCCTTGCCAGTGAGCAAGTCACCCTGAGGAAGACCCCGTGAGTGACCCGCACCGTGGCCGGCCTCCTCCCCGGGGGCACGCGCGGCTGCACGGCCACCTGTGGGCAGACGTGACACTCGCGTGGAGCCTCCCCAGGCCTGAACTCCACAGTGACATGCACATGAGTTTGGTCTTTGCTAGAGGCTGTGTATGGTTTTTAAAGTCTGTTTTTTTTTTCCTTTCCGTGTGTAAGGTAAGCGCTTCCATCCCGTGTGCTGGGGGAATGCGGCTCCCACACATCAAAACCAGCCTAGTCTTTCTTTCCTTCAGGATCATCCTCTGTACTTGACGCCGGAAGCTCTTTGAGGGAAACTTCACACTGTACCAGAAATCGTAACTGACTGTGGTGATCGCCCATGCTCTGACAACAGGGTCGCTTAGTTGCGGACACGGCTAGCAGGTGTGTTGAGGTCTGGGACTTGTTCGTTTTATGCAAGTTCCTCCCCAGACGTAGCTCCAGCAGAGCAATTCCCCTTTTCCGGTCCGCTTTGTTGCCAGCACTACTTGAAAACCATGGCTACTTTCTGAACTAAAACACTAGGAAAACAACTGACAAAGACAGCTAAGGCAAACCTCGGGAGGGAGGCCCTGCTCTCCCGATCGTGGCCGTCACCCACATCTCAAGCACACACCCTGAGACCGCCGGCTCGGTGGCTGTCACCCACGTCCCCAGAGCACATACGGAGGCTGGCGGTCCCCGTGTCTCCCTCGGTCACCCCCTGCTTGTCGCTCACTGGCCACGGAGGTGGGGCGCAGGCAGGAGTGCAGGCTCCGCCCAGGTCAGTCCACGTGGCCACAGCAAGATGAACTGAGAGAAGCAATAACTCACCAAAGCTCAGCTCCACCCGCCGGCTCCAGGGTTCTCACCCGCACCTCATCTTGCCTCAGACAGGAAGGTTCCTCCTGGTGTCTGCTGAGGACTGTGATGCTGGGGCTGCTGAGAAACCAGCTCCCTCTCCAGGCAGGCACCGCTCTGCAGCTCCTCAGGCCTGCTCTCCTGCCCTCCCTCAGCTGCCCGCCTCGCCCTCTGCCTGCGCCTCTCTGCAGTGACTTCTCCCAGCCAAGGCACCCTGGGCTGCGGCTGGCAGTTAGGTGGCTTCCCCAGGACAGGGCTGGAGGGGTGAGTCCCTGCCGGGTGTTTCTCACTGTCCCCGCCCACCTCTCCTCCACATCCGGTACACAAGGCACAGGAGCTGCTGCTGACAGGCCCTGGGGCACTGCTGTGTTTCCACCACTGAACCCGGGGTCTCCAGGGGCTCCCTCAACACCTGACACATGGCCAGTCCCACTCGCCTGCCCCGAGTCCCACTCATCCTCACCCTCCTGGCCTCACCTGAGTCACTCTCCCTCCATGTTTCCTGTTAGTCTGATACCTTCCCAAAGGCCTGTCTTTAGATCTGCGCAGCCTTCGCGTGCTAAACTTGGGAAATACCTTTCACCCTTCCCGGGGTACTGGCCACCAGGTCTCCTGGCAGCAAACCCTGCAAAGGACAGGATGGGACATTGCACAAGCTGTGAGCCATCTCCCAGGGATGTGCAGCCTTTATAAGGAAAGCTGGAAGCTGCTGTGTGCTGCTGAAATCACTTGGGGGTGGGGTCAAGGCAGGGCACGTCCAAGCTTCAGTCCCAGGGTCTCTGATCTCCACCTCAGGGGACAATGATAAAAACCTTGGGCCTGAATGGAGAGCTTCCTGCTTCAGCAATCAGGACTGAGCCATCAGTGACCAGAGGAGCTGCCATTTGGAGGCCCAGGGTCGGGACCAAAGTCTAACAGTGCACAGGAGCCCGGCTGCTGCAGGGCGTCGCGGGCAGCAGGAGGTACCTGAGTATATCAGTGAAGAGCAGCCGCAGCAGGAATCCACCCCCGGGGGCATGGCCCTGAGTGGGTACCAGGAAGAGAGGCAGCAGCTCCCCACGCCTGGCACATGCAGCCTGACAGGCTCCTCGGGTTCAGGGGCCTCTGCCCCACCTCCCCAGCACCAGGCTGCCAGGCCAAGGGCCAGGGTTCTGTGTCCTGGGATCAGAGATGCTTCTCAGGCTCTTGTCCTTCCTGTCCAGCCCGCCCACCCCCAGATCAACTCCCTACCACCCTCTGCACCCAGCCCTGCACCTGTGCCTCCCTTTTTTGATAAAAGTTATGCACAAATGTGAACACCTGAGACGGGACTGAATATTCCTTCATTCTGTTCTTTTCCAGAAGTCAGTAGTAATTCTTATCAGACATCCTAATTAGTACCCAAGGCAAATAGGAAAAAGAAGTCTTGAAGTGTTTTTGTTTTCTAAGACCCTAACTGCTTCCACTAGGAGGACAGGACTAGTAAGTTGGTTTGGCCACAGAACGCAAAGGCAAGCAGAAACAGAGCTGGCGAAGGAAGCGGCGCTCACAGAGCGCTCCCACGGCCAGCCAGAAAGCCCTGAGCTGGAAGTGCCATTCAGGGCCTGGTGACCGTCACATCGCCCAGCTCCAGGGTGGTGGGCGGGTTGGGGTACCCAGCTCCGGCCGTCTTGTTTCGCAGGACACCACCTCACCTGAATGTATCCTGTGTTGGAGAAGCAGCAGTGTGTTGTCTGGTGAGGAACGCGTCTCCACCTGTCCTTCCTGCAACCCAGCCTGTGACTGTCCGCGTCGACGGGGTCCCTCTGGCGGTACTCGTTCATAGCACAAGCTTACACTGAGCTCTGAACTGTCGTGCACAGCTACATGTCTGCATGGTGTCGCATCTGTTGTACTTTGGGGAAAATGTGTATGTAAATGTACAGAAATAAAAACGTTGCCCCATGAACAGATTTCCTCTGGAATGTCTTCCCTACCTCACCTGATGGTATCCGACGAAGGGCATTTCACTACCATTGCTGACAAGTAATAAAAACCCTCCCTGTCGATAAGACCTCGCTGTATCCCTCCTTGCCACACCTCTGTATGCTGCGTCTTCGCTGCCCCGAGGGGATGGTGGGCCTCGGCCCGTCCCAGAGCCCTAGTTTCAAAGGCAGTCAGACACAGAGATCGGATTCAGCAGAAACTGTCTACCTAGTGCCACTCTCAGACCACCTGAGAACTCAGTACATTGAAGAATTTTTTTTCTTGTGTATGTTCTGGTAATCCATGGCCTGAAGGTTCCCAGAGAGATCAAGAAATGAGTATCTTACACTGTGATTCTGCGAGGAAAGACTGATAACCCAAAACTCTCTTCTCTAATGTAGTATTTTTTAACAAGAAAACAATATTTCTTTAATAAAGTATTTATACCAAACTCTGCTCTCGAGAGCCCTGATTTTGTGTCACTTACTATTCTATTCCCGGAGAGGTGTCCACAGCGCGTTCCCAAGCCAGAGTAATGAGGCTGAGGCGGCAGAGGTCACGGTGGGAGATCTGGAGGAGGGTGGCACCCGGGACTCCAGCCCTGCTCCTCTGCAGGCCCCAGGTCCTGGCCGGCATTGCCACCCCCGGCTGCTAGCCTGGTTCCATGCAAGAAACGATGACTGGGCCTCAGTGAGCCACCTCTAGTAATAGAAGGGTCCTGGGGATGCCACAGCTCAGAGGGTTCACTTCCAGTGGTGCCCAACCTTTCCTGCCCACAGAAGCACTTGGGGACTTTGCAGCCATCCTGGACCATGGGCTCCCTGGGGCAAGGCCAGGAATGGGACTCGAGTGGTAGACAGAAAAAGGCTAAGGAATATAAGTGACCAAAGTTAGATACTTGGGCATGGGAGAAAAGAGCAGGCAGAAAGGAAGAAGAGAACAGGACAAGCAAGAGGGACCCAAGTCCTCTGAATCCATAAAAAGGCGATCAGACTACAGTTGGAACATTCCCAGGGAAAAGCATTTCTACATATTCATCCCAACAACGTACCAATTAGGCCCACCTTGTAGACAAGAAAACAGCCCAAAGAAGCTAGAAACCTGACCACATAGCTAGTAAAGTGTCAAGTGGGTCGCCAGTGTAGGCCCAAAAGAAGTGACATACCCTGGGGAAGAGTTTAGAGAGAATACGATAGGCAAAAAGGGCCCAGGGGAAGGATTTAGAATCAACAAATCGAGAAGAAAGGTGCCGGGCAGGGGACTGGCTGAGATGAGAAGATGGATACATCAACCTAAGCGTGCTAACCTAAGGCACGCTATTAACCTTCCTTCTCACTGCGGATGTAAACAGTCACGGAATCGTGGCTGATTTCAATTTCAGGCTGGTAGATTCTACCCATTAATCCCAGCAAATCCATCTGCACTCCTTTTCCACGTCACCAACCTGGTAAAAATAAAACAGGAACACAGCCTGATGACTAAATAAAAATCATTTATTTAAATGTACATAAGTTACAAGCTCTCCCTTGCGCCACTCAGAACTTCTCCGGAAAAGCCTCCATTTCTTCCTTGATTCTGTTTTCTACGAGCAGGGCGAAGTTACTGTCTGTGTTTTGAAGGTTATAGCTGACAAACACCTGCTTGTTGGTCTTCCTGGCTGGAAGAGAGCACAGGAGCACAGCGCCTTGGCCACAGCCCCAGGCTCCCGCGGCCCGCCCCGCCCGGCTCTGGGCACCCTGGGGTTTGCGGCCAGCAGCCTCGGGGCGCATGCCCGCCATGCGGGTTCTCGGGTGTGCGCCCCGCAAGTCGCAACTTCCGGCCCCACGCCCTGCACGCATCAGAACGCTGGGGTTCGGCGAGCAACCGGTGTTAAAAACCGGGGGCCCAAACACTCATGTTCAAGAAACTCCGCTCTACATAGGGTTTTAGCTTTGAGGTTTTTGTTTCTTTAAAACATTGATAATATGCTAAAGTATTTAAAATAAAATATTAGTTTTCCCTGAGAACCAGCCCCCTCTACCAGTTCCGCTCCCCGCCCCGAAGTAATTCTCCCTTTCTGTGCGTTCACACGTGCACCTCCACACACGTGTGCACGTATGTACCGCACGCATGTGCGATTTCCTGGCACCGAAGTGAGTTTAGGCCCTTTTAACAGAACACACCACGACTACACTGGTCCACTGCAAACAGCAGCAGGGTCACCCAAGCCCAGACCGGGGAAGACACCGTGCCGCTCCAGGCAGGTAGCTAGCCCGCGCCGGCGCAGCCCCTGAGCAGGCACGGCGGCCCACGCCGCACCCTCCACCCCGCGGAGGTCCCTCCCAGGGAACAGGAGGCCAGCTGCATGGCGACCACAGGCCACTCAGGACACCTCACCAGACTCCTGCAGGAGTGGCTCGCTGCTCCGGCCGCCATCCTGTCCAGTCCATGCAGAGGCGTGGACAGGGCTGGCACGGCGGCTGGGCACCTTAGGAAGACCGGGCTCCTCTCCACTCCCACCCAGGCAGGAAAGCCCTTCAGGCTCCAGGCCCTCGTCAATTCAAAAAGGGCAAACCTCTGGCGCTCAGGGGACTGCTTTCAGCCAATCAAGGCTGCAGCCTGGTGTTCCAGGTTCGGAGAGACTGCGGCGTTATTTGACAGACTGCCCTCTTTCCGGCGCAGCCAGCGCGTCTCTGGGGCAGGGCAGGGGCAGCGGGTTGCTGCCGAGGAGCTGAGCTGGGCAGCTACACCACAGCGAGGCTGCCGCTGGGGGAGGACTGTCTGGCAGAAGAGGGTGCTCTGCCTCCCAGAGCCGGGCTCTACGCAGTCCTGAGCGCAGAGCCTGCACCAGCGGGCAGGACAGGGTGTGCTCATGACGCCCTCAGCCTGGGGTAGGGAGGCCACAGGCCCCCAGGGCACCTCGACCTCACCTCCTCCGGGTGCAGAAGGTAGCCTGGGCGCACTGGGCTCCACGAGGAGCCCAGCAGGAGCGCGGCCTGCGGAGCGCCACTAGGCCACACCCCCTCGGTCGGCTCTTGCGGGCAGGAGGGCCCTTTGCACAGCCCACTGCAATTCCACCCCCTTAAGCCTGGCCCAGGCAGCCCCGTCTGCCTCCTCCTCCAGGCCCAGCTCCGCCATATAGGGCCACTGTCCACTGAGTCTGTGTGTGAACCAGCGCTCCCCACTTGCTCTCCGCTCCCTGTGCAGCAGTCCTCCACACCCCTCTGGCCGCAGTGGACAGGGTCAGGGAGATCGCCCGGCAGCCCTGCTTGGTCCGAGCACGGTGCAGCAGGGACCCCTGGGGATGCAGTGGCCAACCTGGGCCACCGGCCTTCTCAGACAGAGAACCCCACCCATCTCTGCAGACCGAGACGCAGTGAGCCGCTATTTCCAGCTATTCTCAAGCCTGCTGGACTCTTTTTTTCTACAGAACTCTCATACGTGACTCACTGGATGAGACCCTCCCCTTTCCTACTGGGGTGTCCTGGCCACCCCAGCTCTCCATCCCCAGAGACAGGCCAGTCCCATAGCTGAGTCAGGGCAGGTGTGCACACAAAGTAACCCGTGTGCTGCTGCCCCTTCAAAGCTAAAAAAACACGTGAGTCACTCGGAAGCTGAGGCAGCACAGTCTCGAACTGGCTCTCACATGGCTCAAACGAGAATGAGGTGAGCCCTGAGAGGTGAGGATACTGACTAGAATTCCATAGGGACTCCTGCCTTCTTTGCAACATTCCTGTAAGTTTAAAATTACTTCCTGAGAAACAGTTACTAAAGACACACTAGTCAGGTCTCGCCCACTCCACGCAGGAGCAGCTACCAGTTCCTCCAGGACAGCCGCAGCCTTCCCAACCTTGCGCTGTGGGCATGGTGGGTCCAAGGGGCTGGTGACGCTCCCCCCTGCCTGAGCTTAGCGCAGGGTGCCCTCCCTGCGACGGCTGTGTGCTGCCTGTCCCTGTGCACACACCTCAGGGTGACTAGCCAAGATGCTTCTACCCTTTTTTGGTGTTTGTTTGAGTCAGGGTCTTGCTATGTAGCACACAGTTCAGGCTGGCTTCAAACTCACTGTGATTCTTCTGTCTCAGCTTCCCAAGCACTTACAGGCATGTGCCACCATCCCTGGCTCCAAAGATGTTCGTACTCAGCAGGGAGCAGGCTGACAGAATTCTCCATGTCCAGCACCTGGCACAACTGGAGAGTGTGAACTCCTCTAAAGTGACCCCCTTCCTGCACACTGCCCACCTGTGGCTGGCCCTGGAACTGAAGAACTGAGGACACAGGGCACACTCACTGGGGCAGGGCATCCATGCCCACCGTCCTAGAGCTGAGGGTTCTCACCTGGGTGAGCTGAGTACGCACGGCGTGTGTGCGGGGGTGCCAGGGAGGACGCAGCCTTGCGCTCTGCTCAACTGCTGCTCCACACACCCTCAGAGGCCAGGATGCAGCGGTGCCGGCAGGCCCTGACTCCCCCATGAGATTACAGGACAGCCCTGCTGTAGGGACAACTGCTCTGCCGTCTCTCCCCTCCCACGAGGACCAGGGTGGACCAGGGTGGGGTCTGACTCCAGGGCATCATTCACTCTCTCCTCCAGGAGGAGAGGAAAGGAGGTCAGCTCGTGGACTGCAGACAGGGCAGAGGACACAGGAGTCCGTGGGAGGACGCTGGCCCTGAGACAGTGCAGTGGACGAGTGCAGCAGTACCGACAGCCCAGGGCTGTGCTTCCGGTGGAGCTTGGCCTGGCGCAGGCCCACCCGGCTACCTACCTAGGCGCTGCGCGAGGCCGGTGGAGGTCGTGTCGGAGGTGTTTCCAAAGAGGGAGGTGCACACAGGAATGGGGTCCTAGAAGGAAAACGGTGTACGCTGCAGCTTCCCCCGGGTGCAAACCACCACGCTCCCACAGCTTCTGCGTCTCCACGGGGGCGGGGGAGAGGGCAGAAGCAGGTTCTCCGAGGGCAGTCACTGTTCTGAGGAAAGAAGAGCCTGCACCTGTCCACAGCCTAGAAGGCTGCTCCCATCCACCCCTCAACAGAGAGAGGAGGTCGGCGGAGCTGGCACAGGCAAAGCCACCTGCAGCTGGAGCTGCTAACAAGTTCTAGGATGGATCTCACACAAAGGGCTTTCGTGTCAGGACGCCAAGAGGATCCTGAGGGCCGCAGCGAGGAGAAAGCGGGTCAGAGTGTGGCTGCCTAGTGTCCTGGTCCCTAGCAGCAAAAGGACCCTAACCCCCTCCTGGCCTGCGAGGGTACACACCCAGCCCAGCCCGGAGGCTGTCTGGGCTCCTGCGGGCCGGCAAGGACGCGACTGACTTTGAGAAGGGCACTAGCCACCAGACACTGGCCAAACGACGGACCAAAAGACTCGGACAGCTGGTCAACCTCGTTCCAGAGACAAGGCAACGAAATGAAAGGAGGCGGAGAACCGATGCGAGGATAAACACCCGTGGCCCTTCTCGGGTCTGGACGCAGTCTCACTCCCAACTGCCGTGCAGGCAATCGCCCTCGCCAGCAATAAGGTCTAGCTCAAAGGGGAAAAGGCACTAACTAACTTGGAATACCGCCAACATTACTTCTCATCGAAACAGCAGACCTAAGGAGAGACGGCGAGGGAATGCAGCTCTGGGAATCCCGGTGGTGATGATTTTGAGGGACAGAGGCTCTGGGCCCTGTCCAGGTGGGGACAGGTGGCCTGCGCACCTACTGTGTGCCGCAGCGTGGCACAGCACAGAGCAGAGCCTGCACCCGTCTCCTGAGGGTTCAAGGCCATCACTTCCAGAACTCATTCGGTTCCTACAACAGATGGGAGCAAAACCAGGGAAGAAGGAAACATCTGTGTGCTTTTTTGCTTGGGAAAGATACAAAGCATAATTTTAAGTAATGCACCTGTTTACAGATTCCAAGTTCAACATTTAGCTGTGTGGAAATAGTCTTTACACAAAACTTCCTGAAATAAGCAAATCTAACTTCCCGGGTGGGCTTTTTCCACCCAAGGTAAAATGTAAAACCCTCTCCTGTTAAGCCTGTTCACAGCTTATGACGACCCAAAGCACCTGAGGACATGGGCCAGTCACATGCCGGGTGGCTCTGCTAGAGGAGGAGGGTACCACCTTCCACTCCCCTTGGGCCACGAGGATCCTAGGTCCCAGGCCAGCCTCCCTCCAACTGGTCGGGCCTGGCATCATCCAGTTCTGAGCACTCTGGGCACCAGGACGCCTTGCTCCATGCAAAGCCGGCAGCTGGAGGAGCAGCCACAGTATCCTCTATGGCTCTGGCCCACAGGTGTGGGCTGAAGGCGGGCGTTCTCACATGGCAAACCTTTCCTGGGATGGGCCACAGAATAAGGCATCAGGCTTTCTGGGCCAAAAGGCCTCTGTCACAACTACCAGACTCGGCCATCAAAGCACAAGACTGCATCGACAGGCACGGCCCCAATCCAACAAAACACAGCGATGGTGTGGGCCCTCGTCCTGCTCCAAGGGAACTCTGGGCTTCCTGTTTTTCCCTCCTTCTCAGCTGGCGCAGCTCTTTGCCTCCAGAGGACCCATCTAGGCAGTCGGTAGGAAGAGGGTCTGACAGGCCCGGAAGGGAGACTGCTCCCCTTTGCTGCACCTGATCTTGGCGGAGGACAACTTCCGATTGAGAAAAGCCACCTGCTGCAAGCTGGGACTGCCAAGCGGCCAGACCCCAGGGAAGCTTATTTACTTGCTCGCTCAAACCAGGGCTGCCACAGTCCAGGGCGTCACACATGCCGGGGAAGTGCCCCACTACTGCACTACATCCGCAGCCCTGGTCTTCTTACAAGAACCTCGGTCTCCCGGGGTAAAGCCTGCTCCAGTGCAGCCTCAGCTTATGTCTTAATTATATCTGCCAGCCGCTCGCCAAATACATTCACCTTCCCAGGCTGCAGGGTTAGAGTTTCAGCGTGTCTTATTCAGGGGCCACAGTTTAACACACAGCACCGTCTCTGGCCATGTCTCCGCAGGGCAGGGCAGGGCAGGGCAGGGAGGGTTTTAAGCCTGAGGAAATGAACTCACTACACCTGGTCTTCCCAGGGCTCAGTCTGTGTCCTGCGTCCCACATGGCTACCACCTTACCCACTGTATTACCAAAGCCTCGGGACGAGAAGGAGAAACACGTGGGGTGGCTCTGAAACAGCCCTAGGCATCATTCCGCTCCCCAGGGCCCCGCTCTCCTCTGCCAGCAAAGACCTGTGACCTACCTACCGGTCACCCAGAAAGCAAAGCCAAATACTCAGAGGAGAACAGGGAGGAAGGCAAGGCCCAGGCTACTGGATGAGGACGTCTACCAGTCCTGATGCAATGCTGTCCCCTCCCCAGGCTTTCCTGGGGGCCTCTGCCTGACCAGCTGCAGTGTGCCCTCCCCAGGGCCCGTACTCAGTCACTGCACAAGCAGCCTGAGAAAAGCAGTCAGGAGACAGACGCCTCACTGGACACTGCCCACGACCGGCAGGGGAGGCCGGCTGCAGGGTGAGCAGGCAGGGGGAGGGACCGCAAGGAAACAGGACCTGTGCAGGCCCTGAAAGTCTCCACAGCAGGTTCTGAGTTCATCTCCTCAGGCTTAAAACCCTCCCTGCCCTGCCCTGCCCTGCCCTGCGGAGACATGGCCAGAGACGGTGCTGTGTGTTAAACTGTGGCCCCTGAATAAGACACGCTGAAACCCTAACCCTGCAGCCTTGGAAGGTGAATGTATTTGGCCAGTGGCTGGCAGATATAATTAAGACATAAGCTGAAGCCGCACTGGAGCAGGCTTTATCCCAGGAGACCGAGGTTCTTGTAAGAAGACCAGGGCTGCGGATGTAGTGCAGTAGTGGGGCACTTCCCCGGCATGTGTGACGTCCTGGGTTTAATTCCAGCACTGCAGAGGGAGAGGGAAAGGCAGAGAAGGCAGAGGCGAACACGCAGGGAGAAGATAGAGCCATAGGACTTGCAAACAGAGACGGGAGGGACAAATCTGCAAGCCATGGACCACCAGGGACTCCGGCAGCCTCCCAAGGCTGCCCAGGGCATGGACCGGGTCTCCATCAGAGACTCCCGAAGGAGCAAACGCTGCCAAGGCCTTGACTCTGACGTCTGGCCTCCAGAACAGGAGGAAGTGAAGCTCCGTTGTTTTAAGCCACCCAGTGTATGGAACTTTGTTCCAAAAGCCCTAGGAGACTAACTCGGGGCGGGGGAGGGGAGGGAAGGAAGGGAAGAGAGGAGTCCGGGCTGACCAAGGGCTGCACATGCGCAGGAGAGGAGCTGTACTCGGCACACCACGACTGACAGCATCAACTATGGACTCACTGACTTTGGGCACACGGAGTGCAAAAGAGAGAAGGGTGAAGAATGACTAGGGCCCTGCATGGTGGCCGTGTGGGCCATGCCTGTCATCCCAGCATTCTGGGAGGCTGAGGCAGGAGGACTGCAAGTCTGAGCCCAGCCCAGGCAACTTAGCAATTTGGAGACCCTGGCTCAAAATTTTAAAGTACAAAATTAATTTCAAAAGAGGTGGGGATGCAGCCCAGTCCGAAGGCCCTGGCTTCAATCCCCTTTAGTGAAAGGGAAAAAACAAACAAAAAAACAGCAACTAGAAAGGTTCAGCTGCTGTTAGAGATAGGACGGCCGGACACGCAGCGTAGGGGACAGACCCAGAGTTTGTGAAGCGTGTCTACCCGAGGTTCGTATCAGACATCAGGAAGAAGCTGTCTGTACTGGAGACATATACACACATGCAGGAGCCGGCAAAAGCGAGGCGTCCGGAGTTTAGGGGTTGAAGACAGCCCTCCCCCGCCCAGGAGCGGGGCTGCAGGAAGGGAAGAGCCGACCCGGGGTCCGTGGGCGGGGCCCGCCAGCAGTCAGCGGTGCAGGGGAGCCGACCTGGGCTCCGCACTGGCCAGGGGAACACGGGGTCGTCAGCCTGCGGGGCCGGGGCAGGCCCCGGGGATGCACCTGGGGCCCTAGGGCTCCCCACCCGCCGGGGGCTCCTCGCCCCGCCCCCTGCCTTGCCCCGCCCCGACAGGCCCCGCCCCCGGCGCCGCGCACTTACGTAGCGGCTGCACATGGCCACGGCGAGGTTGCGCAGGTGCGGCGTGGCCCCCACCCACAGAAACAGCGAGTCCGTCAGCCGCATGACGTGGAAGTGGACGAGCTGCTCCCACAGCCTCGCGCTGAAGTTGTGCAGGGACACGTCCCCGCCTGCGGCGGACGGCGGCTCCTCCATGCCGCGCCCGGCCACCCCCGGACCTCAGCCCTGTCCCCACGCTATCCGCCGCCGCCTCCGCCGCCA